ATGAACCCATCTTAAGTTGAAAATATTGTTAAGTCAAAAATGCATTTCACACTCCTAATCTACTGAACATCATGGGTGAGCCAAGCCTACCTTAAATGTCCTCAGAATACTTTTAGTACAGTATTCAATAAATTACACAAGATACTCGACACTCATTATAAAACAGGATTTATGTTAGATTATTTGGCCTACCATCATGAGTATCTATCGTGCCACATATTGCTAGCCTGGGAAAAGATCCAAATTCAAAATTCAAAGTGCAGTTTCTAGGGAGTGCATATCATTTTCATATCACCATAAAGTTGGAACGTTGTTAAGTTGAAGCATAGTAAGTCAGGGACTGCCTGTACTGTTCAAGGTTTGAGGGTACATCTGAGAGCAAATCATAAAATCCTTGCCCGTTAAACCCCCTGTGGATATTCTCTTTGCCACTCCTCGCTCATCCTGTACCCTCCAAGTCCTCCATGGAGGGAATCCAGAGGTCTCCATGGGCTCTATAGGAACTCAAATTAGAAAGGGGTATGTATACCAGGAGAGGACCACGGCCTCAAGATTTTGTGAAGTCCTGAGCAAAAAGTATGGTATATGGCAAATAAGTAAAATTCCCGGACACAAGTCCTAAATAGAAGTATAACAAAACTCGACTTCCCCAGGTCCTACCGGTACCACCTTCTCCAGCTAAGACAGACAGGAACTCCTTCTACTTCCTGCCTAAAACTAGAAACTTCTCCGCATTCACACCCAGCCTTGCTTCTCGCTCACCATCATCCTTCCATTCTCAGGCCTATTTCTTCTGCCTTCCTGGGCGCAACATTTTGTTAATTAACCTCTTTTTTCCTTTAACTTCAACTCCTGCTGCTCAACAAGTCTTTCCTGATCAGATCCACAGTTCAACATACTCAAGGCTGTCTTTAAAAAGTCTCTTTCCTGACCTCATGTTTCTTTCCAGCTTTGCCGTCTGATCGCTCTACTTCCTTCTCTACACATTTCTTGCAGGAGTTATCTATATGAACTGTTTCTACTTCCTCCCCTCTCATTCCCCACCATCTGTACCCCAGTATGGCAGTGGGGGGACCCCTACCAGAGGCTACGGGCTGGGGTTGGAGGGAAAAACAGCTGAAGCTGTGGAAGCCTCAGTGCTTGTGTAGGAAACTTTCTCCTTGTAGGAGACCCAGCGCCCTTGACAACCGAGGAGGGGCTGGTTCAGCAAGGGGTAGCTCTGAGCAATGACCATCCCACACGTCACCCTATCAGTGGGCACAGGGAATACCTGAGGCCTGCAGGACAGAGGTTTGTTCTTCCCGTCTCCATCTTAACATACTTTCCACCAGAGGGAAAGGGAGTCAGGAGGACCCTAAAAAACTGTGCATTTATCTAAAAGATTAACTAGGACACTGTCAGCCATTTTTCTCTCATAGCATAATTGAACCTATAGTTAAACTTCCACGGCACACTTAAATTATGTTGATCAAAAAAGAGTAAAAAGAATATACTTACTATGCTTTGAACTTCTTTTGAAAATAATTTAATCAATGGTCTACAGAAACTGTCACTGCACACCTAAGATACTCTCACAGCACACCAGTTGAAAATCACTGAATAGGAAGTGACTTAGAAGAGTAATTCAGAAAAGCCTGTTGTTGTTTTTAAACCAGAAAAAACTAAATTCCTGGAATGGGAAAGTTTAAGTCTGTTGTTTGTGTTGGATTTTGTTTAGTTCTTTACTAAACAAAAACAGGTGCTTATGAACAAGTTCAATGTGGTTGTAGGTACTCAAAAAAAAAATTACTTTTCTGCCTTTCTTGCTGATGTTGGTAAATTTAACCTTGCTAAGGGAACTCTGCATCTGACTCCATGCTGGACAAGGTACAGACCTCGCTTTTGGTCTAGATCCCAGCTGCAAAAACGCTCTCAGGACTGCTGTCTTACTTGCTTCACTTCTCCCCAGTTCATAGATGAGAACACTGATGCTAAGAAGAGTGACCTGCCTGACCTCACCCACCTAATCACATGTAGCATTAAAAATAATATAATTATACGAATGCCCAATCGGACATAGTAATAATGCCATCTTCATTCATTCATTCCTTCCTTCACCCATTATG